CCATTCATTTGATTTAGTTTGATTTAAGCTGCTTGATTTTTTTGTCATTATTGATTTTGTCACATGCTATGCAAATGTATTACACATTTGTGTTATTAGTTCGCTGGCATTATGACATAAAAGTTATTTATTTATTTTATTGGAACAACAAAAATTTTAAGACTATAAATATGAAGTCTGATGTATTATTTTGGCTATATTCAACTACAGTGCAAAATGCCTCTCCTGTTGCATTTTATGTCTTTTTGGGAATTATTACAAATCATTCCAGAATAAACAACCAAGATCAGACCAATCTGGATCTTGATTAAATCAAGAGACAATTTTAGATAAAAAAAAACAAAAACATTGTATTCATCAGGTAAACAATTAAAAATCATTTATAAGGTAAATAAATAAAAAAAATGGTCAGAACAAATGGTTAATGCCTATAATTCTATAAACCTCTACATTAAAGTTTTAAGTGAAATTAAAATGTTACACACATATACAAGTCTGTATAGCAGTGCAGATACATGGTTTCCATGTCAGCTGCAATGTAAACAAAAAGAATAAGAATATGTTAAATTTTTATAGCTATGAGCTCAGTTTCATACAGCAGGTAAAAAGGGTTTCCCGTTCCATCTTTCAATCCTTGGCCTGAAATAGGTTGAAAACTCACCAATGTAGAGTAGAAGCTCCCTCGTTGCTTCTTTACCAGTAAACTGAGACACTGAAGACAGTCGGTATAGCCGGACCTCGGCTTTACTGCATCCTGACCAGCAGGTGGGTGTGCGCTGGCACTGGCAACCCAGGCGCGGTGTGAGGGCCCGGACCCCTTGAGGGAGATGGTGGGCTGACTAAGCAGCGCTCTCTTGGATCCATCGGCCTGAGCCAGTGCCACCATGCCACCTGTGCCAAAGAGGAGCGCTGCGGCCACCGTCTGCTCTAACAGTCCATTCGCAGCCACCCATATGGCTCAAGCCTCAGGGGATCGTGATGCCAATGGAACGGAGGTTGAGGAGGTTCATTTATCCGCACATCACAGCTCTAGCAAATCACACACATGCGATTACATGCTTCATTGTCTTGTTTCCATATTTTCTGCATTTTATTGTAATCAGTACAAATTATAACTTAAACCTTGAATTTACACAAAGCTTCGATGGACTAATAATGTGCTTTTTTTTGCTGTTTTTGCAAAAAAAAAAAAAAAACACAGCAGATTTATTGATTGATTGTTATGATATGCTTTGATGTATTTTCTGCTACACAACATGCATACTTTGACAGTTAAACCACTGACCTAATTTCCGATAGTAGCACCTTAGAAATGTGAGGGAGTGAACATGAATAAAGTTGTGAAATTGCAGATTAAAAATGCAACTTCAAAGCCTGTAGGTGCAATTTAATTTTTAATATGTTTACAGCCTACTGCAACAGCGCCAAATGTTGCAGCTTTAATTTTTTTATAATTATTTTTAGGGATGGGGGTGAGTGTTCATACATCCCTATTCCATTACATCTGGAAGGCTGACAAATTTAAATATTTGCAATAATTTCAGAAGATACAATATAAAATATGTGTGTACAGCACATATGGTATTATTTAAAAAGAAAATATCCTGTGATATTTAACCTAATAACATGACCACACATTGTGGTAAAGGCACAGACCTAGCTTAAAAACATTATATAGAGCTATTGGCTCATCTTTTCCGAATCCCAGTCCCTATCAGAGGACAAATGTGGGCGAGGTATGCCAGTGCTTCAGCACGGCTGTGCTAACAAAATCACCTTTATCCACATAGACAGGTGACAGCGTCAGCAGTTGGGCTGCCAGTGGAACAGGCTGTGTCTGCAAGCCACGCTGTGCCAATGAGTCCAGAGCTATATGTAGGAATGTATGTCTGAGCGTGTGGAAACGTGTGCACATTTTCCACAGTTTAGAAGCATATGAGCATATTTATGAATTTTTAATCATACTGAAAGGCCGTGTGCATTAGTTTTCCTCCTTGAATACCTTGTTTGACTCTAAATATGTCACATTACAAAACAAAATGAGTTTTAAAGAGCCATTCACATTGGCTTTAAAGTCTGAGCTTAGCAAATTACGAGTGCAAGGCTGAGGGAAACTCCACCATATGGCCACAAGTGTGTCCACTCTAGCTCTACCCCTACTCTTAGCCACACATCTGGACAGCCTTCACCTTTAATTGCCACTAATGTCTGAACACGACATGCGACAAGAAGGAATTAAACAAAGACAAGACCGCTGGCCTGGGGTTATACAGAGGGACAGACGTGAAAAAAGGGAAGTATTTCAAACAAAGGTGTGCGGGATGCTTATAAATGCCTTAAAATATGAACTATTCAATAAAACTAAACCTGTGTATTTGGAATCGGTGTAAGAGAACAAGAATGTAAGCAAACAAACACTACATCAACTTTCCACAGGTAGCAAACACAAGCTTGATGACAGACTTGATGACTTTGTAGCAAAGCGTTTTGAAGAGACGCACATTTCTGGAGCAGCATGCCCTGAAGGACCCTCAAGGAGCGACAGAGAAAATACCGAAAGATCTAGTGAGTGAACAAAGATATCTTTTCATGAGTTGTGTCAGTGTTTTCATGCACTAGATGGCATATTCAGCAAACAAATGATAACAGGCAAAACACAGCAAACTCACTTTGTGGGCTAGCAATCAAAGAGAGGCAATTTACAAAGAGACGATCAGCTTAGGCAGGAAGGATGAATATTCTCAAGAACAAGTTGAGTTCAATCTCCTCCGGCACAGGTATGTAATCTATGTAGTGAATGACAGGTCATACTCCCCCCAACAACAGAGCTGAGATTTACACCCATCCATCCACTTATCAAAAGTGTCATGCGGAAAAATAATCCTCTGACAAAAGAGTGATAGCACGCTTGTCCTTCGCCAACAAAAATGAAAAAATATAAAGTATTTAAGTAAAAAAAAAGTAGTTTTCAAAATAAATCTCCGCTAGGTTAATAAAGTTGTCACATGCTGGATTTTATGAACTCAATGCCAATAAATAAATAAATATATAAAACATCACTCATGGGCATTTCACCCAATATGTTTATTTTATTACCCTTTTCAACAAACAGGGAGACAATATGTAGCAATCAAGCCTCTCGTCTGATTGGTCGATGCTGTTTTGAGACCAAACTATCCCCTTAAATGCCACATTCTCATGGCTACCTCATCCAGAATGGCTTTGAGCTCGCTGAACTGCAGCGGTTCTGATGGATTTCACTTTAACAGCCTTTAGAAACAGGCTGACAGGTCTGAGAAAGATGAATAAATGTCATTCACTGAAACTCTTGCGTTGATGCATGGGGGGCATGTGTCGTCGCTTGGCGAGGATGTATGAGAAATACACACTTAACTAAAACTCTTTCTCTAAATCATTTATAAGCTGGCATATGACTCATGTGATACATGTATGGACTGAGAGCGAAAAACCGAGCTGCAATTCGGCCTACTAATAGAATCAATGACTAACAGCTTGCCCTAACCACACACAACACCACAAAAGCTCTCTTTCATGTTAATCTCAGTTTTGTCCCAACCAGCTGTGAACGAGACATGGTTAGGATAAAATATGAGTCATATACGACAAGCGACAAGTTAAAGGATATTTTGACGGTCGCTGCACATAGTGGAATTTCCTTGGTTCTATATTTTGTTCCATATAACTGTATATTAGACATCAAATGTTTTCTGATTGGCTGTTAGTGTGCAGTTTTTGCTATAATTTTTTTGCTCTCAGTGTTATCGTGTGGTTAGGGGACAGTGCAATATTTATGTGATGTGCCAACGTTTTGGCCTCTAGGCAAGGAGAAATTAGATGTAAGTAAAAACGTTCTAATTATATTTCAAGATATCTGCTATCGAAAGATATGAGAAAAAAGCATATATAACAGAGCCACTGAATAATGACTATTTAAAAAATAAAAAAACTTGTCTCAGATATGGACTAAGCTGTTATGACACAGTCAGATCGTTGATGAAAAATTCAAAAATGAGTAAAAAATAATTAATGTACCATTCCATTAAAAATAATTGACTATAAAGAACCGATAGTAAGATTTTTAAAAAATATATATACTTTTATTCATAAGGATACATTAAGGGCCAGATTTACTAAACAGGGCAAATTAGCACGAGAGTGCAATTCCAAAACAGTGCAGATGGGCGTGGAAATTTCTGCGGGTGACAACACGCAAATTAAAAAACACAGACCCAACATCTCATTTACATTTTGACCAATGCAAAATACCAAGCGCAGCGCAAATTAGCATAGTCGCAAATAAGCAGAGCTTAAAGTTTTTGGGTGTAAATAATGGGGCAAATACCACGCGTTACATTATTCATTGTAATACTCTCCTCTAAGAAATTTTCCATCTGAAAGGGAAACTCCTACAAATGCATATTCAATAAGGTCAGGCGCAAAAAATATAATTGTGTCCATGCCTTTTCAGCGCTAATTCTTCACTGTGCGTCTTTAGTAAATCCTGACAGTACTATTTTAACACCAAAAGACGGTTTGCGCTGGCACAAGCTGTTACTCCCTTGTGTAATGTATTATGTTTTATTAAGCAGCACAACCATTTTCAACATTGATAATAATAAGAAATGCTTCTTGAGCACCAAATCAGCATATTGGAATGATTTCTAAAAGATCATGTGACACTGCAGACTGAAGTAATGGCTGCTGATAATTCATTACAAATTACATTTTAAAATATATTAAAATAGAAAACAGCTATTTTAAATTGTAAAAATATTTCACAATATTGCTGCTTTGTTACATAAGAAAGGGTATACTATATATAATGTTTAAAATAGAAAATGCATTTTTGTTAAGGGTTTTCCACACTTTTCAAATAATGATCCAAAACCAATATATAGTAATGTGGCACAAAATTAAGGGTCAACACAACTTTTACCCACTGACACATCTTACCCCACACTCCCCTACAACTGACCGACCTCTTGGCAAGTCCATCACTCATATGCCAGAGCCTTTGGGAGTCTTTCATTTTTTTCCCCCTTTTCACTCTCATGGAGTTGCTGTGCCATCCCTCATGCTGAGTTTGGGAAATGAGCCTCCCTATGCCAATTTGTCCTGGCCTTCCAGCCCACTGTCCCTGATAGACCACCTGCCCTGGGCCTCTCATTGCACCCATGGGGGGGGGGGTTGCAGTGCCCTCCATGGGCCCTAACCCCCAAACCCCTCTGCCTTAATGGCCACCGCATTGCCCTATCGTGCCAGGCAGCGAAGCATGGCTCTGCTCCACCAGACTCCAACACTCTCTTGGAATGCTAATGACCTCCTCCATTCCCATCTTCTGTTCTACTCCAGACACGTAGCCAACCCTTCCCCCACAATCTGTTGTTTCCGTCAAGCACGCATGCAAAGGATGACAGTTTGTAATAAAAGGTTTGTATTACTTGAATGAGTCTACAATACACGTATTCAGGGAAATTATGAGATTCAGACATTTCGAGAGGGTCTTAAAATTCACTGCGAGCGGCTTTTAGCTGGTCGTGCACTTGACTGTCTCACTGCGTGAGTTCAGTAGCTCAAGTGTACTTACAGACACTTCTCTCCACCCCACCCCGCATACTCGGGCTGAATGAGAAACTAGCGTCCTCTTGGGCACATTCATTCCTAGGGTGACTGGAGCAAGTGGAGATTGGAGTCCGTATTTACTTAAAATGAGAACAGATTTAGAAATGGAGGGGAGGAAAACAGGAATTGCAGCCAGTTTCTAACATACTCTCTATACTAATTCAAGTGGCTCTTGATATTATTCAAAGAGGTTCTTAAACACTGAAGGTGTTTCTGCTATGTGATGAAAGCAGTCATCAAACCCAGTTGTCCACTGGAGACCTGATAGCAAGATCCCATAACAAAACGTTAGTCCCAATCCAAGAGTTTCCTAAAGCTTATAGAGAAACAACCAATGCAACTGTGAAATACACTCTTCTTATGTGTGTTTGAATTAAATTATACTATAAAGACATGTTTATAGCATCAGAAAATCTGAAAAATTCTAAACTATGAATTTTCAGTTGTTATTTACTTGCAAGTATGTTTAGTGTGCTATTCAGCTGCAACTGTTTTTTTACAAGGTGTAAAAAGTGGGGAAAAAAGAGGAAGCATGGTATATAAACATGGTAAATACCTCTGGAAAAAGGCAAGTACAACACTCAAATATAATTAATTATATAAATAACATTAAAAAAAATACTATGCAACACTCCCTCAACAGTTAGTTATGTTCAAGACTATACTATGGAAATGAACTTGAGTTTTCTTGCTTGTGCTTACCAGATCAGAGAAGTCTTGTATTCTTCCGGGAAGTAGACTGGTTGTTCTCCACTGCTATCAGAGACTAGGCTTCAACTGGCAGCATTTATTTTTGTCTGAACAGGATTCTGAGGAAAATAATGCAGAGATGAAAAAGAAATGTGAGATGCAGAGAATTACTAGATATGCACCGCTATCAAAAAGCACCATGAAGCATGCCAAATACTGATGTTGTGTTAAAGCCATAATCAAAACATGAACTCATGTTAAACAAGAGGCATTTTGTGATGCTTTCTCGTCCTGTAACTGCAGTCAGAGTGGTGATAGAGCTTTAGAACCTACCAATGAACAACCCAAGATTCAACCCAAGTTCCAGCCATTGGTTAAATCACAGACTGGACTAAAGACCAATTATTGCTTTCTAACTGTACACAAGAAGAAATATTTTTAGAATTTAAAATAACTTTCTATTGTAATATATTTCAAAGTGTTATTTATTACTGTGATGCCAGAACTATGATACTCAGACAAAAATATTGTTTTCAGTATCACAAGTTCTTTCAGAAATCATTCAAATTTGCTGATTTGGCATTCAGGAAACATTTCATATTATCATCAATGTTGAAAGGAGTTGTTCTGCTTCATATTTCTGTGGAAACTATAATGCTTTTTTCAGGATTCTCTGATGAATAGAAAGTTTAAAATAAAGAGCATTTATTTGAAACAGAAAACGTTTGCAACATTATGAATCCCTTACTGCCAACACTGATCAATTGAATGTGTCCTTGCTTAAAAAAGGCTATTATGAATAACAAAAACACAAAAAAGAAAGAAATATTGACCCGAAACCTTTGAATAAAGGTGTATATTAATTTAATGATTAATATTAATGTAAGACATATATATAATCAACACATGATATTTGGGGGCGTGGCTTAGTGTGCAGGAAAACAAATGGCAATTATCAAAGTTAATAATTCAATTTCTATGGTAAACGCTAAGAGACATTTCCTATAACATGCCTATTAACAGAAAGAAAATGATTTTTGGAACTTTTTTTCTCTCTTTAGATTCCTTGCCAATTTGAATGAATAAAATGTTAATTTTAAAAAGTGCATCATATTGATACAATGTTTTGATGCAAGTAAAATCGCTATTTCTTTTTTTACTTAATATTTTATTTAATAAATCAATCAAGCTAGTCCTTAGATATACATTTTTGAAAAATATATTGAACAAACTGGTTTATAAACCTAACCCACAGCATATTTAAATGTATATATAAAACGTATTTGGAAACCAAAAAGTATTTGAGAATTGCCTTGGACCCTGCTTCAGAGACTTGCACATGTCTGCATGTCACTGCACCAAACACAGTCCACCCTCTCTCTCTCTCTCTCTCTTTGCGCGGCGAAGAGAGAGAGAGAGAGAGAGAGCACTCCTGGATGGACACCATGCTGGAGGTCATCGATGATGCTGACGGAGAAAAATATGAGGGTTTTCAAACAGTGTGGCGGCCTGAGGCATCAGGCAGGCTCGGGTCAGCCCTCTATCTTGCCCAAACAGAACTATTCATTTCATTGCCCTTGTACCAGCATGAATTCAGCACTGAACATTTGTTCTGTGTCTTTTTCGGAGTCTCTCACCTTTCTTTGTACCCCAGGTCTGCGTTGCATTTGAACTGCATCTAACCGAGACTGTTCTCTCTCACCTTAACACACCTTTAACAGTCATTCTCCTGGGACGGTTATTGCTACAGTTGTACAGTCTGTACTCCAGTTCTTTCTCTTCCAGTGCTCAAGAAGAATAAAACTTCTCTTGTTAAGCGTCCCACACATCCTACACTTTTAACAACACCCTACTACCTGAAAGATATTTTGCGGTTTTTAAATCCAAACTCGTGTGACTGGCTTTCCAATTAACCAACCTGATGCCGCAGAACCAGCTTGCGAATCTGACCAGTGATTGCACAATGCTTAAATTAATTCCATATTAACTGCATTTTTTTTTTCCTGCAAAAAGACAAAAGCAGCGCCCTCAGCTGTAAACAGCTTCCGTTCCACGCAAATCTGTCTTCTCAATCGCTTGATCAAGGTATCTGTTCTCCAAAGTGTTTCAAGAGCCAGCAGCTTTGGGGCAGACAGCTTTGAAGCCCCTGGAAATACAATGCCAGCACTGAGAAAAGCTCCACTTTAGCTCCCAGTGTCCGCCCCTCGTCGCTTTTCTGGCAGCTCGCACAATCCCTCTCCTCCAACATGCCTTCCAAAAATAAGGACAGACGATCTCAGGATTCTTTAATGAACTGTCAAGCGCCTCAGCTCCAGGGTGTACACAAAGATAGGCACCTCAGCAGAGCTCAAACTTACTGTACGGAACAGAGTAAAAGAGAAACCTGCAGAAAAAGGCTTTCACCTGAGTATTTCCAGCTCAGTGTTAGGTGTTATCTGGTTTATGGCAACATAAGCAATCTAAAGTGTTGATTGCTGAAATGTTCATTTGCTTGTGCTTTTATATAGTTGACCTTTATATTGTTTTGCACAATAAAGAATCTGAGGTGACACGATTCACACAATGTCCTCAAGGGGCCCACTTCACAACTGTCATTTTGTACAGACAGTCCTCGATGACGCAGTTCTGTAAGCACAAGAAAAAAGGCCAGTGACCAATTTCAGTTTTTGACTGGACATTATTCAGCAGTATTTATAAGGATTTAATCAAAGTCACTTTTATTCACCAGAAGGTCTTTTATGTACTGTTAAAAATGAATTCTTAAATTCTCTTCTTAAGTTGTAAATAAAACATAGAAAATACTATTTCAGTCTTTCTACTTTAAAATTTCATGTTACTTGCTGTTTCTTCATAATTATTTGTGAAATTTACTAGCAATTTCTTGGTGAATTTTTTTTAAATAGTTTTCTTGTGTGTGTGTGTGTGTGTGTGTGTGTGTGTGAGTGTTTTCAGTTTGGAAAGTCTGTGTTCACTAGCATTTGGTGGTACAGGATTTGTTTTTAGCCTAATTTAATTTTGCTGTTTTATTTTTTTAAATATAATAATAATAATAATAATAATATCAAGGACAATTGTACAGTTACTATGTGATAGAATACCCACAAATTAGCATAATAAAGAACAATATGCTGACTTGGCACAACTCCTTGTTTGCGTTAAGTTTGTTTTTGAGCCAATCACCTGAGCTATAAAATACCATGTGACTAATCATTATGAAAACACAGGAAAATGATGTCCTGAAAATGTTAATTGGCTTATGGCACAACAAGAATGTGCAAAGTATCAAACTCTTCACTAGTGACTATCCTTTTACGTCAACAGCAGCAGACAGACAAAAATATCAATAAACAAAGTTAATTTCAAACTTTTAAAAGCCCTCAAAAAAAGTGTCGCTGGTAAAACATCTTTTTAACATATAACAAAATATTAGCAATATAGTACTTGAAATGAAATATCTGAATATAAATCAGAATACATGGCTACTGTTGAACGCCCACCAATGGAAAGCAACATTTTCTCCTGCAGAAAATGCAGCATCTACCAGAAGACTAACTAAACCATGCTAACCAGCCAAACCCTGACCCATCATGACCTGCCATGTGATCTGGTCACTTAGTGTTTCCAAGCATTGGTGTGCCACTCGTTTAACACCAAACTATAATAATTAGTACACATACCCTATCTAATCAATCTCGTACCATCTGGTTTTGATGGACATTACTCTCAAAAATCTTAACTTCAAAGAAAAAGAAACCGCAAATAGGGTGTTGGTTAAAGACAGGAGCTTGTTTCAACCTGAAGGCTGAACATGCCTGCACATACTCACACACATCCACACAAAAGATGTTGCCACACAAGAACGCAATGTACAATTACTTTGTGATACAATACCCACACATTAGCATAATAAAGAACAATATTCCAGCTTAGCACAACTCTAATGATAGAGCGCTGAAAATAGAGCCTCTCTCGGCTGAGGTACGAGGAAGGGGAGCATGCGTGTGAACTTGCAAGTGAGCAGACAACCATTCACGAAGCACGATTCAATAAACTGGTGAAGAAAATTGTCATTATGTTAACCAGTCAATAGTCGCAGGTTACAACAAACCCAAACAACCTTTTGTTTTCTAAGCAACACTGATTTGATTTGCTCTGATATTTTGCAATTTGAAAGTCTGCTATCACGGCAGAAGCAGCTCATCCAGAAAAGGATGTGAGGATTATACACATGTATGTTATTTGTGCTCTGCTGCATTTTCCGTGACAGCTCCCTGACATCAGTGCCCATGCGGATGGCTGCAAGCTAGTTTCTAGTGAAGGGGGCACATATTTTTATTTATATTTTTTTCCCAAAGCAGCCTTCATGTCTGCAGCACCCTGACACAGCGTCTACACTGGACACGAGCGACGCTTCACATCGCGTCAAAACAAAACCGCTCCCATTGTAATCAATGACGCTGTCTACACTGGTAGCATAATGCTGCAGGTCCCAATGCATTTTTACCTGAAGAACTCTCTGTTTCTATTTATACCATATATTTTATTTACCCTGTTTGTCTGAAACACAAATATTACATTTTTAATTAATTGTTCATTCAATTAATTTATTTATATAATATTAAATTATGCATTTTACCAGTCAAAAGTTTGAAATAATTATTATTTTATTTTTTATGTTTGTGAAAGAAGTCTCTTATTATCACCAAAGCTGCATTTACTTCATTAAAAATACAGTAAAGACAGTGACACTGTGAAATATTATTACAATTTAAAATAACCTTTTTCTATTTAAATACTTTTTTTAATTTATATTTATTCCTGTGATGGCAAAGCTGAATTCTCAGCAGTTATTACTCCAGTCTTCAGTGTCACATGATCATTGAATCAATCTAATATGCTGATTTGGTGCTTACTTATTATTGGAACTCAATTATTAATGAAGGGATTTTATTATCAATCTGTTTTTTTTTTGGTTGTTTGTTATTTTGTGAAAATCATGCTACTTTTTTCAGGCCTCTTTAAAAAAGAACTTCATTTATTTGAAATAGAATGTCTTTACTGTCACTTTTGATCAATTTGATTATTTAATTATTATTTAATATTAAGTATTTTTATTCAA